TGGGAGTGAACCAGTGGATGGAAGAATTTTCTCTCTGTATCCATTCTCTCTGTATATTTGTCTTTTCAATAAAAAGAATAAATCTTATAAAAAGAAAACAGAATCACGCAGTGTATGTACATTCGTGTTCACTGCAGCATTATTCATAACCGAAACTGGGAAGGTAACCTAAGTGTTCGTGTTCTCTGATAGCTGAATAAATTAAAGATGTGTTCTACATGAAGGTATTTTAATAAGCTTATATTTTGCAAAAGATTTGTGGAATACATGCAAGGTATTATTTTTAAAGATTTCTATTTTTTTATTTTTAAAGTTTTTCTTATTGCAAAGGTGGATATACAGAGGAGGAGAGACAGAGAGGAAGATCTTCCATCCAATGGTTCACTCCCCAAGCGGATGCAATGGCCAGTGCTGAGCTGATCTGAAGCCAGGAGTTTCTTCTGGATCTTCAATGAGGGTGCAATGTCTCAAAGCCTTGGGCCATCCTTGACTGCTTTCCCAGGCCACAGGCAGGGAGCTGGATGGAAGTGGGGCTGCCGGGATCAGAACCAGTGCCCATATGGGACCCTGGCATGTTCAAGGTGAGGGCTTTAACCGCTATGCTATCGCACCGGGCCCATGCAAGGTATTTTTTTTAATTACATTATATTATGTGACACAGTTTCATAGACTGTGGGACTCCCCCATCCCCTTCCCTTCCCTTCCCTCCCCCCTGGTGGATTCCTCCACCTTGTTGCAGTATTACAGATCAAATTCAGTTGAGATTCTTTCATTGCAAGCATATACCAAGCAAAGAGTCCAGCATTTTATTGTCCAGATAAATTCAATGGTTTCTTGGGGAGATCATCTCTGGTCTGAAGGTAGAGCTGGCAGAACATCATCCCGATCAATTAAAAGCCCCAACTTAACTTCAGTGACAATTTACAACATTATGGAATTAATTGTCATGGTACTGAGTAACCAATATGTTACAAGAAGCAAGTTCTTAACCACATCCTGTGACTACTTCATTAGCATTTTGATTTTAGTTTATGTACAACCGGCTTCTATACACCTTAAAGTGGCTATAGGTTACTATTCAGCTGTCTCGTGACTATCCTCATTTTAGTATTTAGCACTCCATAGTGTTGAAGCATAATTCTACTGAACCTGGTAGATTTTCAGGTAGTCTAAACTGGCTTATAACTCAAGCAAGGCGTATGTCAGCAATTGAGGTGCAGAACAGTTTTAGGAGGGGTGTGCAGAGAAATCTTCCATTCCCCAGTGAGGAGTAACTAATCTTTGTGTCCTACCTAGTAAGGTATATGTGAATCCACTCTGACCATTTCTGGTCTGGTTCTAAGCTTTCCTATTGTTCTCTGTCTATTCTGATTTTGTTTGTTTGTTTGTTTGGGGGGCTCTGGAGCGACCCTGATGGTCATTGCCAGAGAGGATGGGGATCCAAAGTTGGAACTAAGGACCAGAGAAAGCTCCTCTCTCTAGTCCCAAAGGAAGTTTACTATTCTGTTTCTGCGGACTGCTCAGGGTTCCTGGCTGTTGTTCCGATGACCTTGGATCCGGCAAGGAAGGATTTGGGTTTCTTCCATCCCGTGTGGTAGATCCCACACGGGTGACCTCAGAGTCCTCGGCCTCCGAAGGCATCCAATTCCCCGTGGTCTCTTGGGCAGTTGGAATTTAGTCCTTGGTGCTTGTGCTGATAGTCCTTCATGCAAGGTATTTTCACAGGCTGCATTTTCCATTGACTTTTTGAAGAGTCCCTCATATGCATGGACTTCAAATTTTTATTTTTTAAAAAAATTAAATTTCATTTTGTTAAAAAATAAAACTATTTTAACTATATTTTCCATAAGCTTTTCAAAATCTTATTGTGCATTCAGTAGAATGCTACTTCATCTTGAACAAGAGGGAAGCCCTGTTGTGTGCCACAACATTGATAAACTCTGTATCCACTATGTTAAGTGAAATAAATCATCAAGAAAAATATAAGTACAAACTCAAGTATTCCACTAGTTAAACTAAAAGAAGTCACGTATAGTGATGGTCAGGAGGTAGGGTTAAGATCAGTGAGTGTGGTCTCAGTCATTCAAGATGAGAATGTTCTAGAATCTGCTGCATACATGCACATAGCAACATTATACAGTAGTCTCACAAATCATTAATTCATGTTATACACTAACACCCCTGAACACATAAATATGGTAGTGAATCTTTCCAGATTCATTCCAGGGGAGTATACTTTCTTTCTCTTTCACACACACACACACACACACACACACACACACACACACACACACACACAGAATTCAAATGTGGAGCGTGTTGTTAAAGAATTTCCTTACTCTTCATCCAACTCTTCATGCAACCCATCAGGACACTGTCAGGAGAAAAATGGCAAAGGAGTCTAGACACAAGATGACTGACAGAAAGACATTACTTACATATATACTTTTTTTTCCCAAAGTGTGTGTGCGCATGTATATGCATGTGTGTGTGTGTGCGAGAGAGAGAGAGAGAGAGAGAGAGAGAGAGAGAGAACACCAGAGAAGATGGGAGTGTGAGAGTACAATCATTGGATAGGTGGAGTTAAATTTCAAGCAAACTGTTAAGTCTCATGAAAACCATAGAAAAACTTTTGGAAAGCCAGTTTTAAGTCCAAAGAGTGCTGGGGAGAGGAAATAGCAGGTGGCACAAAGATGCTGGCCTGGGGCCCACCATAGGATTCCCAGAGGGAGTGATACCAAGGCTGCTGCTAGCCTGGAGAAGAGCCGGAAGTGCTCCAGGCAGTGTTCCAGACACCGACTCTCCAGAAACTGATGCTTCCGTCCAGTTGCCAATGGCCAAGGCTGAGGAATTGCTCTAGAAATTGGCAGTGACTCACACACAAGAGAGGACAGAGCCCAGGGAGGACCTCATGGGTCCTGTGAGGAGGCTGGACTTCTTGTCAGTGGAAATCAGCTCTGAGTTGTGAGACGTTAGAATGTAGCTGGGGTGGGAAAAAGGGGACTACAGGACGACAACCTGGAGGTAGTTACTGCAGACTTGGATGCGGCCTGAGTGGTGACCTGAGAGTGGAAAAGGGGACAGATTGATGGCAGTTAAGCAGGACTTTCCTGGGTGGCTGATCAGATGTGGGGAAAGAAGGAAAAAAAAAAAAAAAGGAAGAAGTCCAGCTGTTAGCCGCTGTCCTGCGGAGCCACTGAGCGGAGCTGTCCCCGAGTGGGATGTCTGTGCAGATGTATGAATGTGTCACGGACTTTCAGAGGTTGGGAAACCTGCCATGCACATTCTTCCTTCCACTCATTCCAGACATCCCAGACACACAACAGTCTCTAGTTCTCCATTATAAATCACAGGAAATGAAGGCTGGAAAGAATCTTGGAAATCAGATCATCCTTCTCCCTTTATTCCAAGCATGAGAAAGCTGAAAGGACACTGCTCAGAAAATCACCAAGCCCCTGCCGTAACCCCTTCGCCAGTGCGAGGGCTCCTCCTGCACCCTCTGAAGGGGCTCTGCTTTCTCACTTTTCACAGTTTCCCTAAGTATCATCTTAACCACTTTTTCTGAACAAGAAATCCAGCCCTCTACACATACTCATTCAGACACGAGAAATCACTTCATTCTTACAAGTTGAGGCCTCTGAATATGTTACATATTTGTGAAAATAAACGTTATCGGAGGAAATTGAGAAGTAGTTTAAGTACATCTCTGCTCAAATTACTTGTGGGAATCTACTCTTAGATCATTTCAGTTTTCATGATGATCATTATGATCAAAAGAACTCCGGCTCCCTGCTAATGCACCTGGGAAAGCAGCAGAGGATGGCCTAAATGCGTGGGCCTCTGCATCCGCGTGGGAGACCCGCACCTGACCCAGGCCAGCGTATTGAAGTGCTTCAGCAATCAGCAGTGGATGGTGTCTCTGAATCTCTCCTCTCTAATTCTGCCTTTCAACTAAAAGTAAATAAAGCTTTAAAAAAAATGAACCCATCACCTTTCACAACATGAATTATTATTTTTTCCTTAATCTTTATTGGCTTATATGAAAGTCAGAGAGACAGAGATCTGCCATTCATTGATTCACTCTCCTAATGCCCAAACAGCTGGGGCTGGGACAGGTCAAGACCAAGAGCTTGAAATTCCATCGTGGTCTCCCTTGTGGGAAGTAGGGACCCGAGTACTTGAAATGTTACCTGTTGCCTGATGAGCAGGGGCTCATTAGCAGGAACTTGATTTGGAAGCAGAGCTGGGAATTGAACCCAGGCTCTACCTAACACAGGACTTGGTTGTGCCAGGTGATGTATTAACTGCTGCATTAAAACCTCCCCCTCAGTATCAATTTTTATCCATTTCGGTGCATTGTAAGTTCTTATAAAATACTAGCTTTCTAGGGCCCGGCGCGGTGGCACAAGTGGTTAAGGTCCTCGCCTTGCACGCCCGGGATCCCATATGGGCGCCGGTTCTAGTTCTGGCGGCAGCCCCGCTTCCCTTCCAGCTCCCTGCCTGTGGCCCGGGAAAGCTGTCTAGGACGGCCCAAAGCTTTGGGACCCTGCACCCTCGTGGGAGACCAGGAAGAGGCTCCTGGCTTCAGATCAGCATAGTATCGGCCGTTGCGCTCTCTTGGAGAGTGAATCATCAGATGGAGGCTCTTCCTCTCTGTCTCTCCTCTCTGTATATCTGCCTTTCCAATAAAAATAAAATAAATCTTTAAAAAAAAAATTTCTAGCTTTCTAGAAAATCTCACTCTTGTCATGTGGTTTTCCATATAATTTTCATATGGTTTCTTGTAATATCGCTTTCAACCAATGTTGGAAGGATCCACAACAATTTTTTTTAACTGGATGAAGAAAAGAAACTTCTGAGTCTTGTTCATTGAGACTCAATTTTAGAGATCTATTAGAGTGAAATGGTAGCCATCAGAAACAACCTAATAGTTTAAAAGGTGAGTAAGCCAAATCCTCGATTTAATACAAGCCCTGAAAAGACAAAACAAGCCAGCTTACCTGAGGCGCGAGTCCTTGAAGGTGTCCAGATAGGCAGGGTAGCTCCACTCAATCTTGCTCCCTTTGCAGCGGAGCTCCAGGGCTTGCCCTGCCGTCAGGCTCAAGGTGGCTGCAGGTCTCTGGAAGTGACCCTTCTCCATCACTTGCATCATGATGGACTGCGTCTTCAGGGCTGAATCAGCTGAGTCCCTGTCTTTTATTTTAGGCACTTTAGGCTTCACTTTTTTGTTGCTCGGTTTGATTCTGTTCTCTCCTGGTTCCTTTGGACGCTTGTTCTTTGGAGGGTGTTGGCCTGCCACTGTACAAACGAGAAAGCAGTGTGCTACAGTGATGACCTCCTGAGCATGTGTTACCTGCACAAGATCCTGTCTCCATACTTCTCTCCTCAATTTCTAGTTTCACTCATAATCATGCAACAATCATTATTACCTTGATTTCATTCATTAGTTTTGGATTGTTTTGAGAGTTTTGGATTGTTAGAAGAGTTTCGATCTGCTAGTTCATTCCCCAAATGCATACGACAGCCAGGGCTGGGCTGGGGCCAGAGTCAGGAGCTCAGGCTGAATGGCAGGAATCTTTAGTAACTCGAGCCACCACTGCCACCTCGCAGGATGTGCATTGGCAGGGATCTGGAGTCACGAGTTAGAGCAAGATATTAAGGCCAGGGACTCCACATGGGGTACTGGCATCTTAACCATTTGACTCAAATGGTTTGAGTCAAATTTGACTATCCTACATTCTGTAGTTTTAAAAGGATTAGTCATTAAAACAGTTCAGTTTCAAATGTATTATTTGAATTTAGCAAACTATGTCATGTCTGAGCCAAAATTTGCAGTTACCAAAATATTCTTCTTTGCAGTTCATACTCTGTCTCCCAGTCTCCAAGTGCACACACTGAAGAGTGGACCCGAAGCCCCTGCAGGTCTTTCTTGTCTTGGCAACCTCTGTGTTCTCACTGTTCATATGAAATGTATTGGATAAATGCAGGAAGGTGTAGTCCCCCAAAGACTCAAGACGCAAGATACACCACATGCATACTTGGCTTCAAACCATTGCAAACTCCAATTGGACCTGACAATATCCAGATCACGATACTCACTGGAGACTAAGCACTAAACATAGGCTAATTAGAAGTACTACAAAAAGTTCATGGAATGTGAAAAAGTGTTGACATCCATGCATCAGACAGCTTTCCAAAAAAGTCAGTGGAAAAGCATGTTACAAAGAAAACTAGGGGGCTGCACTGTGGTACAATGGGTTAGGCTGTTCCCTGGGATACCAACATGGTCACCACTTCAAATCCCAACTGTACTTCTGATCTAGCTCCCTGGTAATGTGCTTGGGAAAGCAGCAGAAGATGGCTCAAGTGCTGGGGCCCCTGCCACCATGCAGGAGACAGGTGGAATTCCAGGCTCCTAGCTGTGGTCTGACCCGGCACTGGCAGGTGCAACCATTTGGTGGCTCAATCAGAAGATGGACTCTGTCTGTCTTTGACTCCTACCCTTTCCCGTCCCACCTGTAACTCTGCCTTTCCAATAAATAGATTTTTTTAAAAAAGATGAATGCATTTCAGAAATGTTACATAAAATATTTAGACATGAACTTATTTTTAACTGTACTTTCCATGAGTTTTATGAAGTATTATTATCAGTTACTTATGCTCAATGGCAACTATAGCAATAGTTTGGAACTCAGCAAACAAAATACTTTTAGACAAAATGTATGGTTTTTGCCAACTGCTGTCACACAGTGATAATAAAAGGTTGACTTACTTTAACTTGGATTTATTGTCACTCCCTCTTCTAAAGAGAATGTATTGCTCACTCTATCCATTCTGCTGCCCTTGTCGGAAACCTCGCTTCCCACCAAGCCTCCCTCAGGCGTGCAGTTGTCCCCAGCCAGCAGGGGTGAAAAGGAGACACACAGTCTCACTTTGGTCATTTGTCTGCATGAGCTCAAAGGCTGCCTCTGTAGATGCACACACAATTGCAAAACTTTCCAGAGAGAGAGGTTCCTTAGAGGTCATTTAAAGTCTTCATCATGCAGGTTTGAAAAAACAAAGGAGGCCCTAAAAAGTTACAGAAATGTCACACAAAGTCACTCAGCTGATCAATGGCAGAATGTTCTGATACTCATTCTAAAATGTGTGCTTTACTTTACACAGGCAGATATTCCGTAGGTGTTTTAAAAAAATAACTACACAAACTTTGGCCAGTTGATGGAATGACAGAACTTGTATATATAATAGAAGATGTGACCAAAGAGAATCATAATCAAAAGCCCAGTGGATGTGGACTGCACCAAAGACCACTAAAATGGGAGCCACTTAACCTGACCTGGACCCTAGAACTCATTCCATTCTTTTTTTTTTTTTTAAGACTTATTTATTTTTATTGGAAAGTCAAATATTCAGAGAGGAGGAGAGACAGAGAGGAAGATCTTTTGTCTGATGATTCACTCCCCAAGTGGCTGCAATGGCCGGAGCTAAACCCATCCAAAGCCAGGAGCCTGGAGACTTCTCCAGGTCTCCCATGCAGGTGCAAGGTTTCAAGGCTTTGGGCTATCCTTGACTGCTGTCCCAGGCCACAAGCAGGGAGTTGGATGGGAAGTGGAGCCACTGGGACTAGAATTGGTGCCAATATGGGATCCCAGCACATGCAAGGTGACGACTTTAGCCATGAGGCTATAGCGCCGGGCCCCTAATTCCTCTCTTAAAACTCTCAGCTCCGTGCCCACACTTATGCCCCAGAATGCAGGTCCTCTGGACTTGGAGCTTGAGCCCCGAGGTCCATCTGTAGTAGTCTTTCCTCCCCAGGCCTGACTCCCTGAGTCCTTCTCATCACCCTTCCCTCTGGGGCCTGCTGTGCCTTTTCAATCCTTTCAGGGAAAGGAGTTGGGTCATGGCACCCTTGGTCTCCAAGATGGAGTCTCCAACCCAACATCTACTGTTGAACCAGCTCTCACCCAGACTTACCCCAACCCTGCGTGTTTGATTTATTCACCAATGATACATGGTGGATAGCACTAGAGGGAAACTGACTCACACCCTAGCAGGAAGGAGAGCCTTGTAATTCACTGAACACACCAGACCAAGCTCAGTGCACTAATTTTGCATCAACAGCAAAACATTAACTTCAGCTCTGTGATGGGTTAAACATCACATGCTTTTTCTTAGGAACGAAAATAAACACTGACCTTTCTGATGTCCATGTAATCTGTGCCCATAAATATTTCAATCCCATTATGCAATGGCAATGAGATTCATGAACCAATGGATTGATGTCTACTTTGGCATTTATTTTTCCAAATAGCAGAAATTCAGGCTGTCAGAAATGATGGCAGCCACCGTGTATGAAGTCCAGGGCATCCAATGCCATGTGTCTGATATCTGAGTCATGAGACCCTGTGTGGCTTTGCTACTCAGGAACATCAGGCCATCTGCTACGATAAATATCACACATCAAATAGCTGTGATTATCCCTGCACAATAATCCAACCTTTTGATCAAACACTAAAGGATCTAACCACACAGTTGGCTCAGCTCCTTTATGTGCACGGTCCATGGTTTGGGGTTGGTGATGCATGGTTGAAGAAGCCAGCCTATGGTTCCACAGACACTTTGCACTCCTGGATCAAATCACTCCCAAGTCCCAAAATTAACTTTTTAAAGGGACAGGACTCTTCAGCCAAGATAATTTATTTTCCAAAAGCCTGTGAGACACAAGAAATTCTATTAAAAATAAGTAAAAATTAGAGTCTTCTACTTCTTTGAAATTATTGCACAGTGTATTTGGGGGGGCGGGGAGTCAAGCTAAAAAAAAGTATTGGAGAATTAAGAGACAATATTAAAAGGCCAAATATAAGAGTTATGGGAGTCCCAGAAGGTGCAGAAAGAGAAGCTAGGTTTACAAATGTACTTAATGAAATAATAAGCAAAAATTTTCCTAATCTAGAGAGAGAACTGGGAAACAACATCCAGGAGAGGCACAGAACTCCCAACAGGCTTGACCAAAAGAGATCTTCACCACGACACATGATAATTAGCCTCTCTTTAGTCAAACATAAGAAAAAGATCCTTAAATGTGCTTGTGAAAAAAAGTAATTGACATATAAAGGAATGCCAATTCAGCTCACAGGAGATCTCTCACAGGAAAATCTAAAGGCCAGAAGAGAATGGAATGACATATTCCAGATTCTAAAAGCAAAAAATTGTCGGCCCAGGATAACGTACACAGCAAAACTTTCCTTTGTCTTTGGAAATGAAACAAAATTCTTCCACAGTATAGAAGATCTCAAAGAATATGCCCCTTCCAAACCTGCCCTACAAATGATACTTACAGATGTTCTCTTGACAAAGAAAAGGAATAGGGCCCACCAAACCAAAGGCAAATGCAAAGAACATCCCGGTAAAGTAACAACAGAAGACTAAATTAATGAACAACCCATTGCTAAATAACAGGAACAAATTACCACCTATTTATATTAACCCTGAACATAAATGGCTTAAACTTATCAACCAAATGTCATAGATTAGACACTGGATTAAAAAACTAAACTCATCTATTTGCTGCCTACAGGCGATGCATCTCACCAACACAGATCAGTGACCCGGTCTTATCTGCACAGTGTATTTTACAGAGAAACTCATGAGTCATAAATAACTGATTTCAGGCCCTGGCCTGGCACTCACTATGAGACCTTGGGAACTAACTTGCCCTCTTTGCTTCAGCTTTCCCATCTATAAACTAGGAAGTATGTGGTCCTTCTCATGGATTATGGTAGGAATTCAATAAATTAACACGTCTAAAATGCTGAGAATAATATCTGAACTCATTGTGAGCGGTGATGGAACACAGCTTTTCATTTTCTGGTTGATCTATGTGATCTTCCTGGAGGAAAAGAATTCTTTCCTTTAATACACAGATGTCAAGCAGTTGACCCAAGAACAACAAGAAGATAATGAAAAGCTAGACCCTCTGACTCTACCTCCAGAGCTTTCTCTGGCTCAGGCCAGCGCCTGTCCACTCACAGAGACTAGCAAAATGTTGCCGCTTCACTTTATTTACACAAATTTCATGTAAGCCCTGTTGTGTAAGTGGGCTCTTTGTTGGGCCTGGCCTTTGACAAGCAGTTCCATCCAAGTCAAACGGAACTTGATGCCGGGGATGATTGCACAAGCTCCCTGCAAGGGCCCGAGATGCCTTTCCAAGGCATACATGAGACTCCCCGAGCGAGGAGACGAGACACCGGTCCAAGTCTCCAAAGGAAGAACGAATGTGAAAGCAAGAAGTCAGCAGGATGAAGGATGGAGACTCGATCTCAACTGCGGATGATAAGCCAATCCCATTCAGTAGACGAGTTCAGAAGAGTGGTGTGAGAGGAGAACACAAACTCCTTAAAAAGAATATTGACAGCTGCTGAGAGGAGGAGTCGAGCTTACCCACAGTCATTCTTATCAGAGTCACAGCTGTTGGTGCTCACACCCTCTCAACAGTAAGGGGAGGCCAGTCGTGAGGGGCAGCAGCCAAATAACCACACTGTCCATTTTGGGAGGTATGCAGGTGTTCCCTGGTTGGTTCTAACTTTCACATCCACTCTCCTCCATTCTTCACAGAACCCCCCAGAAGGCCACATACATGGGACTTCAAAAAAAGCATAAGAATGTGCATTATGAATGTATGGATTTAACAGATTTCGTACTGCAGTAAACTTTTAGTCATGAACTTTCTGAAGGAACCCCTTTTCTAAGAACATCCACAAAGGTATGAGAGTGACATGGGCTCAGAGCCTCTGCTCCCTCTCCTGCACACACCATCTATGGGCCAGTGTTGTGACAGCAGATTAAGGGACTGCCTGCTGTGCTGGCACTCTGGTGCAGGTCCTGGCTGCTCTGCTTCCCATCCAGCTCCCTGCTAATGCACCATGGAAGGCAGGGGAAGAGGGCCCCTGTCACCCACAGTTGGAGCTCTGGCTTCTGGTGACAACCTGACTCAGATCATTGTGGTCATTTGGGGAGTGAACCAGCAAATGGGAGATATGTGTCTTTCTCTTTGTGTCCCTTCCTCTCTGTCACTTTTCCTTTATAAAAAAAAATTAGAGGAGGGAGAGAGTGATGGAGGGAGTGAGAGAGAAAGAGAAAAATGCCAATCCAGAAAAACTTCCCACCCTCTCTTGAGCACGACTTTCTTAAATTAGCTATTCCTAAATATCAGACATCTCTGTTCCAGGATAAAGACCTCAATGTGAAGAATTTTCCAGAACTTCAGAATAATAGGTGATTCTTTCTGGAAACATTACCTACTTGGCTCCTGGGACAACAGTACACTTTGTATTCCTATCACTCACTGACAGCTCTTTCCCATACCCTGTTTGTGCCAGCGCACCCGAGTCAAGCCCCAAAGGCCGCATCCTATACCTCTGTCTCCATCCAGTCTCCCTAAGTGACCTCTGGTCATTTCTACACTGAAAGCTATTCTACTTCCTGTCTGGCTCTGTTGTTGTGGTTGGATTCCAGGGCTGCACATTCTGTGGTTGACTCAGCACTGCCCCTTGGACAAGCAGCAAACATCTCCAATTAAACGCATCCCAAACTGAACTCTGGATGCTCCTTCACACCTGCTCCTTCGCTGTTGTATCAGAAATGGCAACTTTGTCTACATGGATGCTCAGGACAAACAATTCCCAATCTCCATCTTTCATTGATCTCATCAGACACAGCCCAGCCAGCAGCCAATCCTCTGGCTTCCCCTTTACACTGGACTTCTCCCTCCAACCACCATCACCCAGGCTCCCTAAGCTGAGACTCCAGCTGCCACCCCAGCCCTCCTGCCTTTGATAGTATCAATCTGATCACGGGCTCCTCTTTGTCAGACCCTCCAACAGCTTCCACCTGGCCTCCTCCTCAGCTGTCACACTTCTCAATCCTTCAGCCATAGTGGCCACTGTGCAAGCTCACCTTAGAGCCGTGGCTCCCCATGTACTGGGCCTGCACATCTCATCAGTGTCACTAATGTCATTACAAGGAGAGAAAAGACACACCAAGAGGAAAATGCCCCAGGAAACAAAGACACACTGGGAGAAGATGACCAAGTGGCAACAGGAGCAAACACCAGATTGCTGCAGGTAGGCCTCAGGACACCAAGCACGGCTGGCTACCGCCAGAAGCCAGGAGGAGATGAGGATGGATTCCAGCCTGGCTCTCAGAAGCAGCATGGTCCAGCTCACACTCGGACTTCGGACTTCAATCTCCAGCACTGTAAGAGAATAAACCTCACTGCTTTAAGTCACTTGGCCTGGAGCTGTGTTATGTACCCAAGGACACCAACACACCCTGATTAGGAATTCTTGCCAACTATTGGTTCCAGAGCTTCTGATGTCTCCACTAGTTTATGTATTGTCTGTTCTCTGTACCAGATACAAGCATCACAACCTCACCCAGGGAAACTGTCACTCTTGGGGCCTTTGCCTGCTCCGCTGAATGCCCACTCTTTCTTGTCCTCAAGTTTTTCTCTTTCTTTGCTCTGTGCAGTAAGGATTATTCTATATGTCAAGCACATAAACTAAAATCCTAAAGGCTTTGAAGCATTCATTATAAGTCCTTCAAAAACAATGGGGAATTTTAAAAGTCTTTCTTCATCATACAGAGTTTTGAACAATTTTCTGCCTCTATTTCCAAGGACTAAATCAAGACACAGAAGTGACCCAAGTCCTGGTCAGAGATTCAGGGTCACTGACTAGCCCTTTTCACACTAGCCCATGTGGTTGTGTGGCTCTCATGTCATATTCAATTTATTTGGCCTTCCCAGGAGGAAAATTCTTTTGTGCAATCCAAAATTAACCCAGGTCAGACCAAAGGCAAAAACAGAGATTGTGGGGTTGGTATGATTCAATAAAACACAGTAAGAAATGAACACTGATGTTCCTTTGTTAGTTTCTAGCATTGATTTAAAATATAAAGACAATCGGAAGTGGGTAAGCCCCTGTCACTTTATATTTTATGTGGTCACAACAGTGCACAGTGGCACATATTCCATAAACTGGATGACTATCACATGCTGGGAGATCTTGGGCTCTTTAACTGTTTTCCTGCCTCAGTTTCCACTCAGTGCCTGCCTCTGGCCTTTCAGCTCTTCATCAGGAGAAATAACATCACTTATAAAAAAAAGCAGGTCATGTTAGAATCAAGCGAGGCCAACATCACTGGTTTGGGGTAGACCTGCACTCCCACAGGAAGCCTTTTATGTCTTACGTTTCCTTGATGTGGTCCCCCCATCTGAAAGGCAGTGGAATAAACGGCTTTCTGTCTGTAGTTTGTGTTTGAGGCTGCCCCAACAGGTAGCATATCCTAGCTAGCCAATCAGAGACCTTCTCTGGAAGGACTTCTGTATAATATACTCTCATTGGTTGTCCCTGGCCCCAATCACACACAAACCCAAAGCAGAAAAAGAGGGGACATAAAGAGGCAAATTTTCCTTTCCAACTATGTGTTTCCTATTTACCCATAAATAGTGTTTATTGCACAAGCCACTGTTATTGTCACACCTAACATGTATCAGTTATTCTTCACACAATACTCTGCTCAGAATTGTTTTCCTTCCTTTTAAATGTTTATTTTTATATGAAACAACAGTTACTAATTTATTTAGACAGATGCTAGCAGAAAGCTACTGACCTATTCAGAGATTTGGCTTATGGAGGTAAGTAGTCTGACAGCATGCCTACGCTTCTGAGACAACTGCCTATCTTAGGTAAAAACAAATTAACGGACTATTTGAAATTATTTTGTCTGTCCATCTCTTATCCTATTCAAAAAAAAAAAATATCAAATGCTACATTTCTGCTATTTCAGCAGTCCCACACAAGGCTTGCCAAGAGAGCTTAAATAAACTGCACTTTCTAAACCCAACTCAGGCCAACTTCTCTCTTGGGACCAGGGGGGAGTGCTGCTCCGCAGGCAGGCGTGGCTCACACTCTCCTAAGCCTGGCTCTCTACTTGGTCTCAGCAGACAAGCCTGTGGTATTTTCCTGGCAAACGCTTTCTTTCACTGGAAAGAAAGGAGCGGGTCAGGATGGAGCGGTGGAGAAAATGTGAGTCAGGTGAAACTGGCTCTGGCATGAGGTTGCATAACAGCAAAGGCTGCTCTTAACCAACTCGCAGCAGCCCTGCAGCCCTGTGGCTGCAAATGGAGGCTTGGGGATATCAGGATGCAACTTGATGACAGCTGTGCTGGACCGAATCCCCCCACAAGTCACATAAAGTGTGGAACAAACAAGGTGATTCGGTGCCAACAGTAGCACAGACATAACAGATGTATATCTGTATCTATCAGGGTTTCTGTCTATCTAAATATATTATATAAATATACACACGATAAACCCAGGCTAGCACCCATTTGAAACAAGTGTCTTTTCTTCATCTCTTCCCATTAAACAGATAAGGAATGTAACAATTGTAGAGTCTAGATTCATCTAGAGGTTTCATGCATACACATTTTTGGCCTCAAGGAAACTGGGAGGATTTCAAGTTCAAGGTGATGGTATAGAAAACACATCCCGGGCTGCCAAAACGAGAGAGACGCTTGGGATTTCATGACCGCCTTGCCTAGGTGGCACCCACCCAGCCCTGGCGCCGAGGTGGCAGCGCTCAGCCGCTCCCGGGCGGACACGTTGACACTGGGGCTGGACCAGGCGCCGCCTGCGGATGCTCGCCTCTCCCACCTGGTGGGCAGCAGCCGTCCTGGTGGGCGCCAAAGGGTTAGGGCAGCTGCCCCCTTACCCCGAGATGCTCTCGAGAGCAGGGAGGGAACTCTGAGAGGGAAAGAGGAAACCCTACTTGAAGGGGCAGGTGCATGGGGGCAAAAGCCACCTGGCACCCGACGTTAGAGCAAGAGCCGGCTGGACGGGGACTAGGAGTGAGGGGGCTAAACTCAGGACACAAGCCAGGCAGCCCCGACCCAGGGTCACTCACCATTGTCCAGGGCTTGATGCACCAGCAGGAAGCCCAGCAACAGCCAAACCTTCATCGTCAGGCACGGCTAGGGCGGGCGGGCCGGAGGCGCTGCGGGCTGAGCAGGGCGATGGCAGGCGCGGGGCAGAGTCTCCCGGCAAGGGACACCGCCTCCGGGCGGGAGCCTCGGCGGGTCGGGGCGGGCGCCTGGGACGCCACAGCTGGAGGATTCGGTTTCATGAGGAGGGACGCAGTTTGAGGGGAAGGAGTTGTTTTTTTGGTTGTTTGTTTTAAATTCCTTGTCAATGTAGAATGACCTCTCCTGCCCCCTGGCGGAGCCGTGGAGCGCCGAGAGGCAAGTCAGGGCTAAGTTGCAAAAGTTGGTTGCAAAGTCGTTCCTTCAGTTTCTCCAAAGCTGGAGTATTCATCAAGTTCAGGAAGGCCGAGCGACATTCTGCAGCCACGGAGCGGCCACAAGTCACCACAATCGCCCCCACGTCTCCACCTGTTCTGAAGGCGGTGGGAGGTGTCTTGCTGCCCTATAAAAAGCGCCCCTGCACTTGTGTTTCCCGCCAAAGGGTCTCTTGCCTTCACCAACAGGACCTTTGTTGTTGGTTTTGACTGTGACCCTGCACCCGCCCAGCCAGCTCCTGTCTGGGGAAGGTGTTGGCCCCATTGCTGATTCCTCCTGCCTGCAGAAGCCAAATGGCCCCCAACGCAAGCCTCATTAGGTAGTGATTTGGAAAGGCCTGAGCCAAAGCAAAAACAAGGCCCATGCAATCCCACTTACCCACTCTGGGTTGGAGTCAGCATTAGCCGTCTGCGCTCTTGGCAAATGTTGGATTCATTTCCTCACTCAAGGAAGCAATGCAGGCTTGGGAGACCCATAAAAAATCCGAAGTCCATGGCCTAGGTTAGGAGAGCAGAGGACGGTGAGGGAAGGGGGCATTGTGGACAGTGGGAGCAGAGTGAAAAAGCAGACTGAGCAGGTAGGGCTGTGGTCCTGGAGAAGATTCCGGCGTCTTGTGCTCTCTGCAGGTAGCCTGAGCCCACAGCTTCATATCGTCAAAGCAATCTGAGTGTTCTCCCCAGCTGGGGAGCAGCACCTGGGCTTCCAGCCCCTTTTCATTACTGTCTTTAGCACCAACATTTACAACCAAGGAGAGATCAATGCATGGTCACAAGGAGGGGGCACAAGGCAAATAGTGCCACAATTTAGGACAAATCAGTTTTTCACCTCTTCCCACAGGAGGGATCTAGAATTCTACATTCTGTGGCAAGCTCTAATGTCAGTCTTGTCATGCCAGTTGACTACAGTGGGGAGGGAGGAGAGAGCAGTCAGCCGGGAGCTAACAAGAACCAGGTTCAGGTCTCCATTCTGTTGGGAGCTCTGAACAGTCATTGTTTCATTCTCCAAATGCCTGCCACAACGTAGGCCTCCCCTGTGGGTGGCAAGGATCCAGGTATTCAGCCATCTCATGCTAACTCGGCCATTTAATGCTCCTCCTGGGGGCACAGCCGAAGGAAGAGGGAATTAAGAAGAGCTGAGACTTGAACCCAGACTCTGAGATACAATGTGGGCATACCACCCAGTATTACTGCATTGTACCAAATGTCTGCCCCCGGGCATTCACTCCCCTAGCTACTCTTCATAACTACAGAAGTACAACCAAGAAGATGATGATGATGATGATGATTTTACAAAACTGAAATGTTTCAAAGCTTTAGCGGGAACTAGCTTGAGTGGTTTTAAATTTAGCACTCACTGCAAATCTCATTCCAAGATGCTCCCAGAGCAGCTCATGAAAAACTGTGAAAGCAGAAGGCGAGGACTCTGCCACCTTCGTCTCTTCAAAATCACAAAAAGCAACTAACTTCCTAGCTGCAGGACAAAGCAGGTATGAGCACACGTAATGTGTACTTGTAAGGGCCTCTGAATGCTAAGCGAAAAGGGGCCAATGCCAAAAGCTAAAATGTGAAACCTGAAACCGAAGACTTCATACATCACCCTCTGTGGCCTTTGCTCTTTTTACTTAATGGTGTCCTGACTCCCTTCACATTTCTTTACCCATCTGTTTTTTCCTTCTGTCTCTAAATGTTAATTACTTTTTTTTTAAAAAAAAGATTTTCGTTTTTTATTGGAAAGACAGATCAGATTTACAGAAAGGAGACAGAAAGATCTTCCAACCAAAGGTTCACTTGCCAAATGTCCATAATGGCCAGAGCTGAGCCAATTTGAATGAAGCCAGAAGCCAGTGGCTTTTTCCAGGTCTCCCACGCAGGTGCAGGATCCCAAGGCTCTAGGCCATCTCCTGCTGCTTTCCTGGGCCATAAGCAGGGAGCTGGATGGGAAGTGGAACAGGCAGGACACGAACCAGCACCCATATGGGATCTCAGTGGTGACTGTAAGGTGAGGACTTAGCCATTGAGCAATCTCACTGGGCTTCAAAGAACCAACGTTGGTTTCAGTCTTACGCCAATATAAGTCAACGTTTCTGTCCCAAGAATGTTGGAATTTTGAGCCCGGTTTTTACCAGGGCAGCAAAGCCCTGAGTCTTATGTAAGAATTAACAGGCTGCGGACGCTAGAGTGTGGCCTAACAGGTAAGAGACACTTGGTACACCCAAATTGCATTTGACTCCTGGTTCCTTTGCTTATGATCCAACATCCTGCTAATGTGAAGTGTGTGAGGCAGCAGGTGAAAGCTCACATACTTGGGTCCTTGCCTAACTCCAGCTGCTGTTGTGGGTATTTGGGGAGTGAATGAGAGGATCTCATGTGTTTGTGCCTTTCAAACAAAATGAAAATGAACTAAAAAAATGTGTTCTCAAGCTTCAGTGGACACGCTGGGGGAGGCTTCTGCTTTCTCAGAGGCTCAGCCCTTGGGGAGTCCCAGATTCCTGCACCGTGACAATGTGGCAGCATCCAGGGCTCAGGGCTTCCAAGTGAGCCTACTCTCCATCGTGGCCAGACGACCCACACTGGGCTGCTGAGCTCTTCCAGAATGCAGTCTCCGAGTCTTCTTCTTCCAGTTGACTGCTACAATCTCATGGGATTAACATGCTCTTTTCACCCAGGGTTCTGCCACTGGAAATCTCTGGTGCCTCAAAGCATTTAAGAAACAGTGGCCAGGGCCCACCCAACACATTAGCCTAGTGGCTGAAGTCCTCCCCTTGCATGCATCGGGATCCCATATGGGTGCCGGTTTGTGTCCTGGCTGCTCCTCTTCCCATTCAGCTCCCAGCTTGTGGCCTGGGAAAGCAGTAGATGACGGCCCAGAACCTTGGGACCCTGAAATGGCATGGAAGTTTCAGATGAAGCTCCTGGCTTCAGATTGGCTCAACTCCAGCCATTGCGGCCACCTGGGACAGAAGATCTTTCTATCTCCCCTTCTCTATATATATCTGCCTTTCCAATAAAACTAAATAAATCTTAAAACAATAACCACTTTATTACTTGTGGGGCTCCCCACAGTAAATCTTCAGCCAAGTTTCTTCTGCTTTCCTAATACTTTGACGTGATTTAAATGATGGTAAATTAATGGGAGTTATTTTTGTGTGATTGTAAGAATGTTTTGAGATTTTTCTGGGATGAAATGAATCACTGTTTCCATACAGACACATGCGGACTTCTCGGCACAATCCCTGGACAAGCTGTGAACTCTGAGTGCTTTGGTCCAAAAGGAAGCCCACCTGTGGCATTTAAACACCACATAGGAAATGGTGTCCCCCCCCCCCACTCTAGCTGAGGTTCTTTGTTGGACACAACCCAATCACAGATCCTGGGCAGTATTTTCCTTCATGGGATCCAAGGTACCACAGAAGCAATCCTAGGGTAGCAATCCATGGCACCAGTCCCTACATTGCATCGGAAATACTTTGATATCAATTTAGCCTACATCGAAAACCAACCTAACAGTTGCAAGGCATTTCCAAGTAGATGACTGAAATAATGTTATTGTTGGATAGAATTTCTACTAAGTTTTGAATTTTTTTTGAGAGAGATTTTGCATCTATGGTTTTGCGTCCAAATGCCCACAGTAGCCAGAGTTAGAGCTAGGAGCCATGAACTCAGTCCAGGTTTCTTGATTGCCAGGAACCCGACTGAGCCATCACTGCTGCCTTTCAGGATCCACTTTAGCAGAGAACTGAAGTTAGGAGCCATGGATAGGAACGAAATCTGGGTACTGCAGTGTGGGACTTGGGCATCCCAACCAGCATCATAACCTACCCTAGGGTTGCTGATGGAAGATCTTCGTCTCCTCTCTGTAAATCTGCCTTTTCAAAAAACAACAACAACAACAACAAAAAAAAAACCAAAAAATCTTTTTAAAAAATGCAATATATTCCTTTTGTTTAAAATCAATTGAGCTAATTATAAACAGACATTTCTAATTAAACAAGATCATTCAAGTGACTTATCATCTTAAATAATTTAGGCTCATGTTTAAAAACTCTTGACTTCTCTCTGTCGTAAGATACAAAAGGTTGAAATTAGTAAGCATTCACTCACCATACTGAAATGTTTAGTCCCAGCAAGTACTGAAGCCCAGGATTTGGTGGGGGGTGGGGGATGGAGGGTGACCCCAAAGTACCCTCTGCAGATCACAGTGATGCCAAAGTGAGCAGTCTACTAGCTGCAGGTGTCAGCTGTGGGATCCAGGGAAGCACACTTCAGGGGTAAGTGGTAATGTCTGGGATGGGCCACAGGACTGAGACTACGTGAGACATCTCATGTCATAGGACAGAGTAGTCACACAGGAAGCTGTTGGGTGAGTGTTGCAAACAATGTAATTACTTTAATGTAACATGAATTTTACTTCTGAGCTTTAAAAAGGAGTTTAAATTAGCTAAGTCATACCTGTAGGCTTTTGATATGTATGAGATATATACAAGCTATGTTATTATTAGAAGTCATGAAATTTATTTAAAAAATACATGGTCACATTAGAAAGCATGTTTTACAGTAGTAAAGCAGCAATAGTTTTATTACAAGTTCTAAAAAATAATCCAACTTTAGAAGTAGAAAGGAACAATGATTATTATTAAAACATTTAACTTTAAAATTAGCTCAGAAGCAGAAACCTTTTCATTTGCACAAGCCCAATGTACGTGCTTAGTGGCACAGAATTTCTTTGCATTTCGGCCCTATCCACAGTTTCTATTATGTCTTGATCCTAGGGATCAAGGGCGCAAACAGGTGTGGGTCAGAGAAACACAAAAACCTATGCTCTTTACTACCTGGGTTATGACTGTGTACTTGGATGACATCAGTGCATACATAGGATGGCACGTGGCCAGGCCGTGCCATGCCAGGTCCAGGAGGCAGCCACCCCTTCCAAAAGTCACTGAGTTTCTTGGTCCTTATTCATTTTACAAAACTCATGATAGACCAGAAATCCAGAACCCCAAACCACCTTACTCTCATCTGAAGTCCATCAAGCAGTATCCTACCCTGTCATCCTAAGACCCCACACCAGGGATAGCTAGAGCTGCTCTCACATTGCTAGCTGCCTGACCTTGGAATCAGCCTGGAGTCCTGGTAAGGATCTCCACAGGGCTGACAGGGTCCAGAACAGACTCTTTAAGGCCCGGGGGGTCGTGGCAGCAGCTTCAGACATTCAGACATGGTGAATAAGTTAAGCATAGTGCTCGCAGCAAATAGTATTACCGATTGGGTTGAGCTTTAACAAAATGCATTTAAAACCAACAAGGCTATACAGTATATATAAACAACAACGGACATTACAAAAACAGTCACAATACCACATCAGGCCTCTCGAAATCCAACACCTTCAAAGCTAAAGTGTTTAAATATAATTATATAATGAACAACAGAAACACTCAGTTAAACAGTGGAACCACACAACCTTTTTTTTGTGTGGTTTTTTTTTTTTTTTTGCACTTATACATGACTCAAAAATGACTTTGCTGGCATTTTTACATCAATGTCAGTATTTTCCCCCTTAGGAGTTAAGGACACATTAGAGAATTTTATAAGGCAGAAACAGAACAGAGAAGGCACTGTGTTGGCACTAGCAAAATACAACTTTTACCACCTGTTCTCCCACCACATTGCATGGATCTTGAGATTTAAAAATCCACTGAACACTGTTTTGCAGTCAGAAGTGCTTGTATTTTGGATGTTAACTGATGCTCAGGCGAAGCACAGGAGGGGCCATGAGCACCAGCACGGGAAGGGGAGGCAGGCCTGAGCACCACCTCTTGCACTGCTAACTCTGGACTCTACCCTGATTCAGGAGAGAATCTTGCCAGCGTTCTCTGCCCCCATCAGCATGAAGGAGGATTATTTCTCTTGGTTCTGCCTGCCAACAAGCATTCAAATACAGGTAGAAAAAAATTTGGCGAAACAATTCTAATTCAAAGTGGTTTATTAAAAAGAATTTAGTAGCAACCTGACAGCTCTCAAGACTTAGACACTATTTAGACAAGTGCTTAAAAATTTTTTTAAGTATACATATTTCAACTGATGTATTTATCTTAATGCTTTTTCTTAATTTTAAATTTTTCTTAATTATCAAATCCAGAGAAAATGTGATTAGGCAAAAAAATCTCTATTTTGGTGTAAGTCAAATATTCTAATATGAATTTTTGCCAGAAATAGTTCTGAATCTTGAGTTTGTAAATGTAGAGTTTTAAATGTAGAGCTGGCATGGCCTTTATATGGCACTTCACAAATCATTTAAGAGTAAAAAACTGAGGTGATATTATAATTTCTCACTGAAAATACTGACACATTTCCCAGTGTAAAAGAAGAAAGTGATTCAAGTTGCTTTTACACAATCAATGAGAACACATATATATTGTTTTAATTTATGGAGAAGAATTTATGTAAAAGTGAAACTACTAATCAAACTGATATGAAATCTTTTGGGAATCCAAAGAAAATGAAAACAAAATTTTGTTCAAAGGATTAGATTCAAACGGGAGTTCTGGCTTTTACTGACACACACTATGACAGGTGTGTCAGAAAATGAACAACACAAACAAGCAGGCAGGAGTGGTCTCCTGCCCTCTACCCTTACTCCACTTAATTATAAAGCACCTGTTACAATGTACAGAGTCTAGTGATTTCATAGTAGAAACATGATAAATATTTCTTAAAGAATCTATCTATAGAAAAAAATATATGTAAGTTTTAAACCTAAAGTCATACATCAGCATGTCTACCAATATACAACATTGATTTTCATTTCTTTCAGTTGGGTTTTTTATCTACATGATATACCAAAGCCCATCATAAACCCAACTTTCCTGCATACTGGCATCTGAAAATATATGCATACAATATGAACATGAATATATACACTCATCCTGCACAAAGTTAGTCTGCTCACATATAGACACAACACATCCATTTGGGTATTCACAGAAAAGTACACTGACCAACAATGCATTTTTTCATAGACATTTGTTTCCGAAGTGTTTCAAGGTGGAAAATCCTTTTAATCAAAATTTTGTCCTAACTGAACATAGTGGGCATAGTAACTTTAGCTGCCTATTATGTTCTACGGAAATCTCTTGATTTTGTTACAGTAAACAGTCTGTTTCCTGCGAGGGGGTCTATTCCTTGTTGATTAGACTCAGAGGAGTTCCCAGGATCACACCTATGATTCTTACACAAATATCTTGCCTCTGGCTTATCCAACTCTGCACCCTCCAGTAAAAACAGCAGCTTGTCTGAGAGTTTTGAGCTTCAGGTCTCACTACGTGCACCCTGGAAAGTGTGGAATGTCGTAAGGAGTTGTATGCCAGGGATGCTGCCACAGGAACAGTGGAAAACCCAGGCATTCCACCTGCTGACTTGACAGCCTAATCACTTTAAACTCTTGGCTGCTTTAACAAAACAGGCACAATCTGCCTTCCAACACATCAATAAAATACCCAAGCTCTCAGAAGTACTGCTTTTTCCTTGTCTTTGGATTACACAGGTCATCAGGTATGTCTGGAACATTCACCCTTGTATCCTATCCTGTCCTATCCTGTCCTGTCCTATCCTATCCTATCCTATCCTATCCTATCCTATCCTATCCTATCCTATCCTATCCTATCCTATCCTATCCTATCTTATCCGTTTCTATCCTACTCACCACATGTGAATGCCTTAGCTCTAGCTTCATTTGAAGAACAAAAGCAAAGCCATTAGAAGCAAAATGCAATAAAGACAAATAATCTGCTCTTAGAGAGAACTCCATAGTAACATAGAGCAACTAGAGAATCTTACATGTGAAACGTTCTTTACTCATATACAAAGATTACTGGGTTTATGTAGATTTGATTATGCTTTTAGCTTAAGGCTTTAAAGAATCATGTTTTCAAGAAAAAGCATTTTATTATTTCCCAGTTGTTCTGGGTTATTGCGGAATATTTGTGCTAATATTAATAAACTCAATATGGTCATTTAAAAGCAAATGAAAAAGAAAGTGCTAAACAATTTACGGGATGAGGGAGGAAAAAAAAAAAACCTAAATGTTTCCAAAAGAAACATTCCCAAGCAAATTGGAGCCAAAACATTTTTGAATTAGGCCAAAGGCCATTCAACATTTGAACAGGCACTTTAATATCAGAATAGAAGAATACTTTCTTCTTTTAATTCCTCCACCTTATCCTCTTTTGTGTATTGTAAAACTAGGACAAGAAAAATAAGACAAACAAAGGAGTGAATTCTGTGCCTTAAGAGGTCAAAACACTAAAGTGATGAGTTACTAAGTCATGGGGAAAAGTATAAATCATACCACCAACTGTGCCACCTGGTAGATTGCACTGGCTTATTCTGGGTGACTTCAAAACAGGATGATTGGTGTCCATTATCCAAGCATCTCTTAAATCTTCAGACATACACACATCATTGCCACTTACATGAGTTGTAGGCTGTGGGGATCCCTTCCCTTTCTAGCTTGAATACCCCAACTAGATCACAGCTCTTCTGTAAGCCAACAATGGGCTGTACAGTGGGTATATCCTTCCCAGCAGGCCATATATTTAAGGGCTATTGCTCTCAAAAAGGAGAGTTCAAAGGGATGCCAATGAGTGACACTGAGTGTTGTTCCTACGCTGTGTGGTCCAGAAGCCAACAGTCCCATTGGCTCAAGTTGGCACAGGCTGTCACACCTCCTAGGAAGCAACTCTGTACAAGCCGACTGCTGGCATTTACTGCTGACAGAAAAGGCTCATTTCCATCCACCCTCTGCCTCTGACAGTTGACCGACACCAGGCAGGGGACCTGCTTTTTCAGCAAGCTCTAAATTGACACTTATAAGGCCTAATAAGAAATAAGAAGCAGCATTCCTTCCCCAACCACGCAAGGGTACATACAAAATATTTTCTGTTCAGTGATTTACCTCTGTTTTAGGATGTGCATATCTATCATCAAACAAAGACAAGGCTGGGAGAATGCAATGCAAAAGCAATACAATAACAACTGATTTTTAAAGGTCATGTTCTGAAACACACACACACACACACACACTCACACACGATCTTTTACATATTCCCACTGTTTTGGAGCTAATCCATCACTGAGGAGAGGGCTCAGGAAGTTTCCCCAGCACATAATTCACCATCTGAAGAGATGCTACTCAGATGAGCAAGTATAAATCAGGGGGAACTATGTATGCAGCAAACCCCATGATGACCCATGATGTGGTTTACTCAACAGAGGGCATGTGTGGTAGGACTGTGGAGCAGCCCTGTTTCCAGGACCATTAGCACTCGCTCGTCTTTTCATGGAATATGAAAGGCAGACTGAGGTGTCTTGGGTGATGCTCATTTGCTTGAATAGCAGATTTTTCTTCAGTGGCTGCTTTCGCGTTATCTGAATAAGCACCTTCATCATCCTCTTCATCCCTTGGATTTCCCTCCAGGCTGTGGCGAATGCCATAAGCAAAATAAATCAGGAAACCTTTGGAGGGCAAAAATCAATGTTTTAGATGTGTCAGGAAAAGTCTGAATATAGAAAGTTCAATATAGAACTTAACAGAATTTCCCCCTCTTTCTGTGATACATTAGAGGAAAGGAATGCAAATACAAGATACAGCAGATATCTTGATAAATATCATTCTTGTAGAATATGCATGTCATTTTACACAAACTTTAAGAATTCATTTTTCTTGTATAATAGATCTCTCTTAAATGATGCTTACATGGGGAAAATTATAGACACAAAATTTAATGTCATACTATGAACAGCAAGTGGTAGAGAACAAGAGACACGGTAAAATAATTAGGAAAGCATGCTCTGTGTGAACAAAGGGTTAATGGGTGGAAGAAGCAGGTCTTGTGCCTCAAGTTTATTAGCAGTGATGCTCTATGTGGGCAGTGTGTTATATTTCAGAAAACTGGTGAAAAGGTTTGAGTAGTTTTGAAGTGGATTTTCCTGAGCTTCACTTTTCTTCCTAACAACCTGCAGAAAACTGAGCATACATGCTTCTACATGGATGCTGAGAGACTTTAATTTTAAAAGCTAACTAAAAACATTTGGAAAAGCAAGCAATGGGATGCTCTAAGAAATGGGAAAGGAGGAAATTTAAAAAAAAAAAAAGGCCTTTATTTCCAGGATGTGGAGAGTGTGCATTAGACACAGAGCAGTAGCATAAGAAAGAGACTGCGGGAGAGCCCGTTTCAGCAAGCTGCAAACGTGGGAAGACCTACCCAGAGCCATCCAAATGCTGAATCGGACCCAAGTGTCTGCACTGAGCTGCACCATCAAGTATATGTTCACCAGGATGCTGAATGCTGGCAAAAACGGCAAGCAGGGGACCTAAGAGACAAAACCCATTGGAACACATTCCTATTTTGAGAACAGATTCCTGAAATTACTTCAGCATGGTGGCAACTGATTTGACATCTACACTTCCTTGTGACACCAGTAAGGTTATATTCTCACAAAAAGGACAATCTGAATAAAAGCCAGTCTGCTGGAGAATACCAACAGGAGAATCAGACATTAGGATATTAACTGAAACTCAGAACATCAGGATGTTTATCAAAGCTGCTGGCAGCTGTACCACCCTCAGGATACAATTAGTTTTAGGGATTCATTTAAATGACACTGGTTTGGTCCAGGCACTAACAGACTGGACACTAAAGATAACCTGGAAGTTCACTGCCAGACTGCTCTCCTCTAGCTGGAACCTGCCCTGAGCTTAAATGGGACAGGGATGCTCCACTATGCAGAACAAGGGCTTAAGGTGGGAGCACATCCTCATGAAGGTTTACTGATTATTTTTAGCATATTTTAAAATTATGGACTAATGAGAAATTTGTTCAGTATCATGTGAACACACAATATTGTGATGTAGCACACTCAAGTTTTTGAAAAAGGCACAAAGACATCTCATGCAGTGATGAGGCTGAAACTTCAAGAAACCTCTCGGGAGCTCGGACACACCTGCTCACTGGCTGAACTTTGTCAGAAACTCTCATTTTAAAGAAACCACAGACAAAATTGACACAGAGAGACAGGGTGCACAGCACACTGCCCTGCGGGCACTCAAGCCTCCTCACACATACCATAAAGGCGACTTTCTGCTGGCTCTGGGGCTGCTTCCAAATGGTGAGAACGATGGCCACACAGAGAACAAGAAACAGCACGAGAAGAGCAAGGCTCCAGGCTTCCAGCTCCACGATGGCACGGACCCCATAAGTGGTCAGAATGCTCAGGCCCAAGATAAGAAAAGCTGCAAAAGGGATGAGGTAGGTCAGAAACACATGTCACACTTTCTGTGGGACCAAGTAGCTGCTTCAGGGATTGGCATCTGACACAAGAGTTAAGGTACCGTGTGGGATTCTTGCATTCCACCTCAGAGTGCCTGAATTTGAGTCCTGGTTCTGATCCTGTAAAAGTGCACCCTTGGAGGCAGCAGGGAATGGGACCAGTGCTTGGGTCTCTGCCACCCATGTGGATGATCTGGACAGAGATCTTAACTCTGGTCTTCTGCTTCACCTAACCCTGGCTTTTGCAAGCATCTGAGGAATGAACCAGAGGATGGAAGATCTTTCTCTCCCTTTCTCTGTCCACATGTCAATCTGTCATTGCTTTTGAAAACATTTGAAAGATTTTTTAAAAATTTATTTATTTGGCTCAGAGGTGTGGGTGTCTGAATCTCCTGGCTACCTGGCTGTGGCTGGGAGAAGCCGTATCAAGCCAGGCTTCCTGCTGGGGAGCCTAGCTCCCCATCCACCACTGCTAAGTGGTGGGTGAATCCTGAGCTTGTCCAAGCCCAAAGTCTGAGAATTCTTCTATCCACAGTGATCATGCTGCAGGTGGATCTTGGACGGCTCTGGGCATGCTCAGGATCATGGCTCTGCCCACTGCTCTGCTGCCATGTTGGTGAGCAGAGCCCAGCTAAGTCTGCTCAGAGGTGTGGGTGTCTGAATCTCCCAGCCACAGGCTGATCCAGGCTTCCTGCTGGGGATCCTAGCTACCCAGGTGGCAAGCTCTGGGGTCTTGGGGGTATGGAATGACTGCCAAAGGACACCCATGGATAAGGCCACAGTACGTGCAGGTGAGGAATGAATCCTAAGGGGTTCGTAATAACAGGACCACTATACTTTCAGGTAAGTGATGGGACTAAGACCTGGTGGTTTGGAGGGGCAAGACCGAAGATCTGTATTAATCAGACTCATGCACCAAGCCCACATGGGAATCCTGAGTTGGTGTTGTTAGCATGGAACATTGCTGACCACCACACGCCAGTCCACACAAAAGCTAGGCCTGGTGCTTGATTCAGCAGCACATATACTAAAACTGGAACGATACAGAGAAAATTAGCATGGCTCCTGCGCAAGGATGACACGCAGATCCGTGAAGTGTTCCATATTTAAAAAAAAAAAAAAGGTAGGCCCGGTGGCCTTTCTAGTAGGACTGGATTCCAGTACCTTACTGAATGTCAAACAGGGGATGGGTCATATTATGCAGGTCACCAACCAGCACGCAAGAAAACCAGGTTCTGGGGCAGATTCTGTGTGGGATAAGTGGGCCCAACTCTGGAAACGCAAGTCTTGCTGGTTAGCTTAAAAGTTGGGGTGGTGATGGGCTGAGCTAGGCGTGACCATGGAACTTGCCAACACTCACAGGTCCTGGGGCCGAAAATAGGCTGGGCAGGTCCAGGTTGTAGCACCTACATGTGCATCCTAAAACAGGGTGTGGGGTGTGGGCCAGGCTGCAACATTCATCAGCCCATACTAGGCCAAGATGGAGAAGCAGGCCATGCTGGGCAAGGGCCTAGCACCATCTGGCATGCATGAGATCTGGGTCTGGGGATGGGCTTAGTGAGGGAACTTGGGAAACTCCACTAGTGGTTCATAACTCCCACTGGTGACCATGTGGTCCAGGCCTGGGGTTGGGCAAGCTAGGCAAGCTAGCTCCAACTGTTGGCCAATATGTGGGTTGGTTTTGGAAGGGGGCTGACTGGGCAGGGCTGAGCAAAACTTAGCTCACTGGCAAGTGCAAAAACCAGGCTGGAGTGCAGGTCATGCTGGCTTTGGCTGTTATATGAGCCAGGGATGGGAGCAGCCTGAGCAAGACCAGGCTGTGAGAGTTGGGATTGGAGGCAGGCCAGGTCAGTCCAGGCCACAGCATCCAAAGGCTAAGACCAAGACAGGTGAAGGGCTATGCCATGCTGGGTCAGAGCCATCACTGGCAAGCTTGAGATCTGTGGCTAAGAAAAGGCCTGGTTGGGGAGCAAGGGGATGGATGCCTTCTCAGTGGCTTAGATGGAGCAGTGGACAGCATATCCAGGTGCACATGGAGGATATGGCAGTACATTGGAGTCTACAGAGCATACCTTGTACTATCACAGAGGATGGAGGACAGAACAAATCAACTACCAAAGTGTTGTCAGTGAATAACTGGGCAAACAGAGACTCTAAGGTGAACTATGTCAACCAGTGGATTCTGGAGATTTCATTGTGCTTGGAGTGGCAAGATCAGCAGTAATTCAGAACTGTTTTATTATCAAAAACTCATGAGTAGGACCCTCAGAGCATGCCCCACATTGGGAACTCTGGGGTGGTGTCGGGTACTGCTCTGCATCCCAGGATGCAGAGGTGTTTGGGAGGCTGGGCATAGCTTCTCTCCTTGTCTCCCCACTTCCCCCACATACAAGAAGGAAAAAAAAGAGAATGTGGAAATGGTAATCTCACTCACCTTCCTGTAGCCCTTGACCCTTATCACCCTAATCAACTATGTAAAAATCATAAAAATAATTAATGTTTATAAAAGAAAAAAATTTATTTATTTGAATGGCAGAGTAAGTGAGAGAAAGTTTTCCATCTGCTGGATCACTGCCCAATTGCTTAACAGCTGGAGGTGGGCCAGGATGAAGCCAGGACTGAGCCTCTTCCGTGTTTCGCACTAGGCCCAAGCACCTGGACTGTCCTCAGCTGCCTACCTGGGCACATTGGCAGGTAGCTAAGATCAGAAGTGGAACAGCAGGGTTTCCAATTGGTCCCCACACAGGATGCAAGTACAACGGGCTGTAACTTTATCTGCTACACCACAGTTCTGGCCCCTAAATATTTTTTGAAAGGTCTACTGAGGTATAACATCAAGTTATTTATGTCACACTTTGCCAAACACAGAACTTTTGTGCTTTCTCCTGTTCATTGTGGGGAAGACAAATGACGTCACTGATTTGTGAAACACTGCTCATTCATCACTATCTCCTAGAAGCTAACTTCTCTTGGCGCTGCCATCTTGCTTTGTCTGCCATAAACCACCTGTGTTTGCACTAGCTGCTCTTAGATGGAATTACACCAATGGATGGAATGTTCTCAGAGGTGGGTATTTCCCCTCTTGCAAGAGACAAAGGGCAAGTCAATCGATTTCATGCTGTCAACATGAATTGTTCATGTAAAAAAGGTCGTGCATCTTTTCTATTGTAGAGAATGACAGCCTGCATGAGCACCTGTTCTATTTGCTCTAACAGAAAATGTACTTCCCAGGCCCAACTGTCCTGCAACACAGACTCCCCGGAGAGTGAGTCTTCTCTTCTGGTTTCTTCAGCAGAGTACCTGGCACACAGAGGATGCTCTGCACCGAGGGCAGTAGGCATTCAGCCTGGTGATTGAGATGCAGGTTAGGATGCCTGCCTCCCATAGCAGAGTGCTGGGGTTTGGTCCTTATACACCCAGGGGGCTGAAGGAGTTGTGTGCCTGTCACCCACATGGGACAGCCACACTGAGATCTTTGCTCCTGACTTCAGTCTGTTTCCACCTGGGCTACTATGCGCATTTGGAGGGTAAATCAGTGGAGGGGAGATTTCTCTCAGCCTCTTAACAGAATGTGCCAGTTTGCACTTCTGCTACATGCATATTAGGGAATTTCCTTTCTTCTTCAGTTATGAAGATGTGCTGACTTTCTCTCACTAAGTTGAAGGTGAACTAAAAATCTAGTGACTCTTCAGGGTTCAGGCTGGCTGTTACTATATCCCACAGAAAAGTGTCCTCTTTCATGTCACAATGGCTCTCACACGTGCTGGGTCTTTACCAAATGCACAGGGAACACTTACCCAGGAATCCGACCAGAAAGCTTACAAGAGATGCAGACTGTCGCGTGGGCAGAGCAGAAGGACTGTAGATGGTCCGCAGGCTAAAGCCATGTCTTTGCAGCATGGTGACCTGGGACTCACTTTTTGAGGCTGCAGTGGCACAGGATCCCAGACCGTCTTTCTCAGGAGAGTATTTGGGCTGTTCGTAACATAAGCCAGGCTGGTACCTATTGCCAAAGCAGGATGTGCTGTTAACTCCTCAAAAAACAGCAGACACTCTCAGGGCCCAATCCTTGATTTGGCTGAACCAGCAGAGCTTTTCAATTAGGAACCTGCAGCAACTTCAAATTTCCTCTGCTAGTCACTTCATTATAGACTAGATGCAACAGGATGTTTAAATTTTGAATAGCATGCGTATTCAAGAGAAACACAGCTTACAAAAACAGCAAGGGAACTGGTTAAACATCAGCTACAGAGTAAGGCATTCCTTCAGCTGGGCTGACACAGGCCTCCTCACAGCCTAACTCTTTGACATCAGCTCCTGCCACTTTTCTAGATGACTTCTTGAATTCATCCCACTTAAGCTCCTGCAGCCATTCCACCACTCTCCACTCAATGCATCACTGTTATTTCATCCTCTTCCTCTGCTAGGTCTGCTCCCAGTCTCCTCAACATGGCCTCTTGTCCTGCCGAACAGCCTTCACTTACTTTGGAAAACAACATTTCCTTTCCATCAAAGTGAGAAAATTCACAAACATACACAGAAGAAAATGACAATCATCCATAATAACATTGCCAGGTAACAACATTCTGATACCATTCACCTGGACGCAGATGTGTGTGTGTGATTTCTCATGCAAAATCATGAGTTATTAAGGAAGTTCAGATGCCATTTATAGCTTCATATTGTAAAATTGACATGTTTCTCCAAAGGGTTAAATGCCATTTTATGTGTTATATGCAAATCCACTGAATGATGTTCCCTCATTTATTTAATCATTCTACTGACACTCAGGTTAGTTCCTTTAGCTTTTCCATGAACATCATTTATTGGGGGTGTGTGTGTGTGTGTGTGCGTGTGTGTGTGCATGCTCTTCTTTGGCGAAATCTTTGTAAAAAATCTTGCCAATTACATCATGGAGACAAAAAGTACAGGTACAGTATACTATAATATATATATACTATATATGAATATACTATTATATATATATATTAGTATCTCTATATGAGTACATAATAAGAAACTACTTTTCACAGAGTGGGTTGATCTAAGGATCAAGGGTATTTTTTTCTAATGAACAATTCTGTCTCTTTTATACTGATGTTTTGTGGTCACAGTGTCTGTGAAAGCAGAGACACTTGAGTCCACTTCAAGTACTCCCCACTTTCCACAGCCACTTACCTGAGGATAAGCACGCAGGCTGCGACCAGAGAGTAGGCCATCAGTGTGCCAATGGACATCATGTCCACAAGTGCCTTTAGGTCAAACAGAAAGGCCATCATAGCTGCAGGGAGAAGAAAAGGAAGGTGACGTCACCGCCTGCAGCGGAATCCCACACAGCCAGTGCCTTCACGGCACGGACAAGGGACAGGCCCTTTTCCCTTTAGTACCAGTAACAGCAGGTCAAACAAGTACAGGAAATACATATGTTAGAGTTCATAAGATGTCCTTCTGTTCATATAAACTGGTAGTGAGACTTCAAAACCCTTCCATTTTCTAGAATGTACAGAACACATGTTCTTTGTTTAAAAAACAGTGGTCCTGACAAGAGTGAGAATATTAATATAATATCAGCCTTTGATACCTATTGACACTGCTGGAAATATTGACTAGTTCCTTTTTTTAAGACTATAAAAATTTAAAGAGAGCACTTTCATTAGAGATGTTACATAATCATTTTAACATCCATCTATATTATAAAATGTTTTTCACAACTAACAGGCTAAATGCTACTCTCTCTGACTTAAACTCTAAATTTCAGGTAGGTTTACAAGAGATCTGTTTATGCTCCTGCATTACCAAATCCCAATGATGTTCAGAGAATAAAACATATTTTATATGACTGAATAGTGAGGTAATGCTTAGCAGTTGTTTTCTCTACTTAAACATTAAAACAATGGTAGAATTAACTCAATTTAGTATGCAGTTCTATCATAGGAAGAAAAAAAATCACATTCCATTTGTGATATTCCAATCCTTTCTGCAAACTTTCTATGTCTATGATCTCAATTACTCAAGTCCATGGGTAGGAGGCTTAGCCATATATTTCACTAATAATTGACTTCCCCCCCAAACCCAGCAAGTTTATATTAATTGACCTAAGATCTTCATCTTAAAAACAGGTTAACTTGGTAAAGCTACAATTTCCAGATACAGGCAGATTTCCACCTAAAACAAACTCATCATTCTCCTTCTACAAATATCCCATTGTTTCATAAAGTGCACTGTCTGGCTTACTTTGCAAATTCTTTATTGCTAGTATATAAAAATGTATACATTAGATTATTAAAATTTCAGTATGCTTTCTAAGATCACACATAGCCAAATAAGGTAGCCAAGAGCAAAGAAAACGATTAACTATGTGTACAAATTCTGATGTAAGTTAAAAACAAGCCAAGTAAGGTTTAAAGGTACAAAAAACAAAAGCATTTCAGAGCATTTTAAAAGGGTTCTATCATAGTTTTCTTCCTAAATGGGAAAGGATGATAACAGTTTAAAGATTATGAATACAAAGTAGAGGATTTGGGGTATGTTTTTCACTGGATTAAAAAAAATAAAATTTTCACCAAATTAAATAAAATATGTGACCTTTCGTCAAGAAATATTAATGGACTTTTTAATACCACAATGAACTGTTGGATTTTCTCCTCACTACATGGTAGGAGTAGGAATTTATGCCTAGTTAAAGTAAGTGACTTGTCCTACACATGCCAGATATACTATACATTATTTACAAAGTGAAACTGTTGAGGCAAATACCTTCTGATCTGGAAGAAACTAGTTAACACGTCATGAAAACATCAGCATCCTCTAATATCCCAACAATTACCTCAATCAAATTATTATTTTGAGGTGATTTCTATTGCCAAGATTACTTATTGTTTTATCTGTAACACTTGCTAATGTTTCTCTTGCTTTTTGTCACAGTACTTTTTAGGGTAATTCAACCTATGGAATCTCTGGAACAATTTGCATGAAATAATTTAGACAAAGGTATTTTATACTAAGATATACCAAAATACAGGCAACTAATCCCAGAACTGTTGAAAGGAACAAGAGATTTCTAACAGGGTTGAGAGGATATATATGTTGGCATCTCTTTGCTAACCCTGAGGGTAATGATTTCAAGGGTCAAGATAATTTATCTTTGATGCTTATTCTACTTAATTAAGAACAACAAAACTGAGTTTTTTAAAAGCCCTGTGATACTTTAGCAATATTCAATTTATAACACAAATATAAAGAAAATATATGACTACTTTTAAAATGAGTATTTCAGAAATTATTAATTAAATTTATGTCAAAGTGGAATTTTTGTTCATCAATTCATTCATCAGAAATGTAGGTGTGCAAAGCCATTGTAATAATTTGCACATTTATTATAATCCCAAAAGGTTAAAAATAACAAAGTAGTAAGAACAAAAAATCCCAGTCAATTAAGCATGAATTTCATCCATCGCCACCACCACCACAATTTTCAGTTGTTAATCCCAAGACTCATACACAAATTTATCAGTGATTTTGTTCTGAACTTACATGCTCGGCATGCAGACCCTCTTAGTAAGTCCATGCATGTGTGGAATACGTTCCACTCCAGTGCCGAAGAGGCCTGTGAATGTACAGCTTACCCGAAATGACCCCTGCAGTCAACGTGGCAGCAACTGGTGACTGCCGCTTACTCACTCTGGCAAGAAATCTAAACAGTAAACCATCCCGGGCCATGGCAAACAGAATTCGAGGTAAAGGAAACATAGAGCCCAGAAGACTAGAATAGAAAAATTCATAATCCATGTGAGTGACGCTACATAATATCCTGGAGAAGCATACACAGGTAAAGCCTGAACACGCTACAGTGCAGAACCAAAGAATTCAAAATCGAAAAACATTCACAAAATAGTTATTGAGCATCACATAAAACAAAATAGAGAAATACCTAAATTTCGGTTTATCCCCCCAAATCCTTGCTGAGAAAAAAGATTTCCTTTTCCTCAATAAAAGTCAACTCTCTCTCACCTGCCACTGCACCCGATGATAAAGTAGCAATGATTGGTGTCTTCGTTTTGGAATTGATTTGAGCTAGACATTTGAAAAGCAACCCATCCTCCGCCATAGCATAGATTACACGAGGCATTGGGAAGATGGATCCAAGAAGACTGAATGAAAAGCAAAGACATGCAGTAGAGCAGACACATTCATGCAAGATTACATCCAGAATTAAAATAAAATAACTGAATTAAACTCAGCATAGTAGTTGGGCTGACAAAGTCCTATTGTTTCCAAATGCAGTATGATTGGGCAGTTACAAATATTTGTCAATATTGACCACTGTGCAATTCATTATTCTGTTGCAGATGTCTACAAAGAAAAATTATCAGACTAAACACAATATTGCAACAATTTATGTGTACCCATGATTATTACTGAATTAAAATCAAATAAGATTATGCAAAATACTGACAAAATTTTAGTGGCAAACACTCAGAAAATAAAATTTCTAGATCAATGGTCAATTAAAGAGATTAAATAATTTAATTTTATAGTAGCAGTTGCCTCATTTATTCAATAATTATGAATTTGGTATTCATCAATTTTTCCCATAACCCAATCTTTAACAAACAAGTGATCATTCCCAGCATGATAAAGGCATTCAAAGTAGAGAAAGGTTAAAAAATATCAATTATAAATTTAGTACATAGAAGTAATCAAAATGAAAAAGTTAGTAACAGTGAAGTTTACCAAGACATTTTTTGCTTCACATATTCTGAATTACTTGTGTTTACTGACTGTACCATCCCATACATGAATTAGTTATAAAAAGGAATCACCAAAAAACTTCCAAAAAGCCATGTAAAATATTTTACTTAAAAAAAAATCCACTTTCTTTCTCTTTTCCCAGAGCTAGGTGGAACCTGGTCACACATGAATCTCTGTCCTGCTCTGGACCATGGTGGCATGGTGCCTTCCCAGTCCAGATGCTGGGACCACAAAATGCCATTTAAATTCCAGCACTAGTTGATGATTGAGAAACAGGGAATTTCTAATTGCCACTTAATACTATTTTTAGTAGAAAAATTAAAGGGACAAGAAGGCAAAACTAAAAGTACAAATTATATTTTAAAATCTATTTTTCCAATTTCAGATATTTAGACAATTGTTTCCACTTTAAAAATTAGAGATCGGGTCCAGTGTGGTAGCCTAGCAGCTAACGTCCTCGCCTCGAATGCACCGGGATTCCATATGGGTGCAGGTTCTGATCCTGGTGGCCCCGCTGCCTCTCATCGAGCTCCCTGCTTGTGGCCTGGGAAAGCAGTCAAGGACAACCCAAAGCCTTGGGACCCTGCACCCGCATGGGAGACTAGAAAAGGTTCTGGGGTCCTGGCTTCGGATTTTTTTTTAAATTAGAGACCGTGTAAAAAGATTAATTTTCTCTTTGAGAACAGTCTACATTTTGTACAAAGGTAGAATAAATATCTTTATTATGCTCATATGTGAATTTGAAACATAAGTAGCAAGCCTAAAAGCATTAAAATGAGCAGCTACTGAATATCTGAACCCTTGAAATTCAACCCTCCCTTTCTTTTAACACACATCTTAAGAATTTCTATCGCTAACTTGAGCATTATAATTTATTTCCTGCCCAAGTTTGCTTAGCGCTGAGACAAATGTCCAAGTTTCACAATGAAAAGCACATAATACTGCTAAGGACAGTGCACCCAGCTTCTGCTGACATGAACTCATTATTCCTACACATAGCAAGAAATGTCAAATCTGCATCCATTTTCCCATGCTGTCTGTAGTGATAACATTAGAACCAAGGTCAATATAGAAACATATTAGGACACACATGTTAGCGTTTGTAATACCTCCAATATATGTGTAGGTGTGATATACCTCTATGTGGTGTGTATGCGTGTACAAATGTGTGCTGAAGCTTAGACCAACACTGTCCTGAAAAATGGACTCTGAATCTCAGGGATGGGAGGAGGGCAGGTCTCAACGACTTAGGATCTTAAATGCAGTACTGGGAAAACTATTCAGGCAACACATAGTTGCACAGTAGGTTTCTCATGTTAGGGTGTTTTTAAAACACACAAAGCAAATGATAACATTTGGCAAGAACTCAGCACCCTGCCGTCGAAGCCATGTACCTTGTCGACAGTGCACAGAGGGAACCTGCAGCAACGACGTACTTGGCAGGACCCCATCCAACATACTCAAATGCCACAGGGAGGGGGCTTTTTTCATCCAGAAGGTAGTAGGGCATCATTAGTGTCAAAGCTGCAGAGACGCCAAAATAGGCCATAAAACACACCAGCAGCGAGGTCACAATTCCGATGGGGATCGCTCTCTGGGGATTCCGGACTTCCTCACCTAAGGAAATACAAAATAAGGTGTGCCTGTTTAATAAGATATCAACAGGTAAAAAACACAAAATTTCTATCACATGATCCCTCCCTCCCGTTGTAGCTCCATTCTGCTTCTGTCCCTCTGCTTTCTGATCTCGAGCAGTTATTTTAGGACATGCTTCCTCTCTTCTTGAAGGTACTCTGCCGTTACATAAAACTTCAATCCACAGAGGGAAAAGAAGTCATGTCAGGTGGTTTCCGGTTTCCAGAAGAGGAAAGCTCATCAAATAAAAATAACAGAATTATCACTCTCAAGTGTTTTGGGATAACAAACATTAATCCACTGGGAAAACAATTCATCCAGAGAGATTAAAATCAATGTGTTTTTACAGATCTTTTAATCTGAAGGCTGCAGATAAATTCCACCTATTTATATAGTGTATAGTTATATGAAACTGTAGCTTCAATGGAAAAAAGATGTTTTATTTTTCTGATAAACTTTGCCATTTGAAGTACCCAAAGCCTGGTCTACCAGAAGGCCTTGTGCTTCTAAAAACGCTCAGAGATGCTGGCATGCGAGCTTCCTGTAAAGGGCAAAGGACTATCGCAATGTCATTTTTCCCTGATTAAAGGAGAGACAAGTGAGGAACATGACCGTCATTTATTACTTATTGTGACAGTACTTCCAGACTGCATTCAGCAGCTTGGCAGTGGTGTTTTTATGCAGTATTTGAGGTCATCTTCATTATTCCTGAAGGTAAGTACTGCTCTCAATTGTACTGATACAGAAAGCAAGGATGAGCGAGCTTTGTCAACTTTCCTTTTATCGGATGTAGCAGGTATCATAGTTGACTATGGAGCAAGTATCCTTACCCAAATCCCTCTCTGCTGGACTCCCGCTGCCACACACGGCTAGGAGTACCTTCTCCCACCACCCTGGGTCAAGACACTGCTCTTACCAGTCGTCGCGATGCAGTCAAATCCCACGAAAGCATAAAAGCAAGTGGCAGCACCAGCCAAGGTGCCTGCAAAGCCGTACGGCATAAAGCCACCAGCCCCGTAGAGACTTGTGCCGTTTTCAGAAGGTGGCTCCCTAAGGAACAGAACAAATGCATTGGAAAATCATTTTCATAGGACGCTGCTCCTTGGAATGACTTATCTAGAACTCCTTCCTTGGAAGGATACTTGGAATGAGTATTCGGAAAACTAAAGCTAAAACCTCCTGCTATTCTTCTCTAGAGAAAATGGTAGCATCCCCAGATGACATCACTACAGATCCACAGAAGGCCACCTGACCCAGGCCAGTGAGAAACTCAGGCAGACAGGATTTCCAGAACAGAGACTACTCCTGGGCTGCATTTTGAGATAATGCAGGAACCCTGCTTTCCCTGGGGATGCTTTTTCTCGTAAGAACACAAGGATTTCAAAGCAGAAAGTAAGGCAGACTACACATCCTTCACACTCAGCAGGGAGACACCTGAGAAAGTGAAGCCAAACTCGCAAGGCTTCCTTAACAGAACAGAATTGGAATACTTTATAATAAAAATAGTATAAAGTCAGGGGATATCAACTTTTCCTTCTCCTAAGAATAAAAACAACATAAAGAGAAACAGCTCACTCGATGCACCTCACTCTATGAAGCAGATACTTCCCATAATCTTAGTTTTGCTTATGCAGCTTAATAACATTGAAAAAAAAAAGGCCTGGAAATTACCACAAGGCTCAAAGAACACACCGAGCTGAATGGTAGTTCCACAGGATGAACTCAAGGACGTGTGATTTAATCACCACTTAGAGGAGGAGAGTCACTGGGGAAAACATATGAAGTTGTTCCCAAGCAATGACTAGAATCTACTCCTGGTTCTTCTCCCAAAAGCAGGAGCAGAACCTGAGGTCAGGAACCCGCATCTGTGGCCTCGAACGGCTGGTCGACCATGAGCATCCTTGTGCCTTTATGTCTGGAGGAGGTAGGAAGGAAGCCTGCAATAGGGCAGTCTCCTCAGGCAAGGCTCAGGAGCAGGAAGTTTAACCACCATTGTTCAGAGGAAAGCAGCCACCTATGCCATCTGGGGGAAAAAAGCATTAACAAGAAAGAGAGGAAAAACTGAATCTTCAAAAAAAATTTTATTTTTGAATTATTTGAAAAAGAGAGACAGAAATAAACAGATCTCCCATCTGTTGGTTCATTCTCCCAACACCCAAAACAGCTATGGCTAAGCCAGGCTGAAGTTGAGAGCCTGGAATTCAAACTGGGTTTCCACTGAGTGGCAGGGGTCAAGTACTTGAGGCCATACCTGCTGCTTTCCAGCATGCACATTAGCAAGAGGCTGGATTTGAAACAGAGAAGCCAGGACTTGAACCTGAAACTCCAATATGGAATTCCAACATCCTAGCACGTGACTTAACTAATGTGCCAAACACCTACTCCATTTACAAAAATGCTACTTATTTTCATTTCATTTAAAAGGCAAAGAGAGAGAGGAGGGGGAGAAAGGGAACACCGAGACAAATATTCTACCTGGCAGTTGCTGATACATTTTTGAGAAAGTCTTCGCTAATCTTCCAGTTTGCCACACTTCCTTTCACAAAGCCAGCCACCATGACAAACAGAAGGACCAGGATGTTAACAGCAGTGAAAAATTTGTTCACCCAAGCAGATTCCTTTACTCCAAAAGATAAAAGTCCTAGAAAAAAAGAGCATTTCAGTTTTTATCTAAAATTCAGTAAAGGCATTTGCGGTAAATACAAGATTTGAAGTATTATTTCACAATCATTCACGTGTAAGATGACTTCAGAAATCTGTGGAAAATGAATGCATTATAAAGAAAACGATGCATGGATTGTAAAACATTTTGCATCACAATAAAAGCAAAAGTTCACTTTCCACAAACTTTTTGAATTCCCTTGCATCTAACTCCTATTTATCCATTTTTGCATGCACCAGGAACCTATATTTATGGTCATTGGCTCATGTCCTGACTGCTCTACTTCCATCCAGCTCCCTGCTTGTGGGCTGGGAAAGCAGTGGGACCCTGCACCCACGTGGGAGACCCAGAAGAAGCTCCTGGCCTCGGATGGGTTCAGCTCTGGCCATTGCAACCACTTGGGGAGTGAACAAGCAGACCGGAAGAACTTTCTTTCTGTCTTGCCTCTCTCTGTAAATCTGACTTTCCAATAAAAGTAAAATAATTCTTTAAAGAAAATAGCAAAAATATTTTAAACTTAGAAATTTTGTTGACAATCCTATCCCTATCTTTATAAACTACACTTAACGACTAACTTTCTAAAGGGTAAGGATATTTTTTTAAATGATGTAATTCTGCAGGTAAACATTTCATAATAGAAAGCTCTGTCACATTCTTGCAACCCAAGGGGAAAACAGAGATAAGGTTGCATGGGAAAGGGAAGGTTAAATAGGGTAAATCAAGTAGAAAGTGGGAACAAACCAAAATGCTCATGGAAATTTTGAATTAAGGGGCAAGTTTATTTCAGTGCAAAAAAAAATTTGAAACTCATGTTTTCATAACATACATGAATTGTTTGAAGATCTCTTGCACATATGGATTCCAAAAGAAATTTTTTTGCACCAAAACAAACTTACCCTTCCATTTCATTTTCAATCACCTTTTTGAAGTGACCATCCCAGATCTTCTTGTCGGTCAGTCCCTGATGGGCTTAAGGAGGACTGCACATTGCACGTAAGAGCAGTAATCCAGACAGAATGGGCTCAAATCATTAAAGCAAATAGAAGCAAGAGCAGGAACTAACTTAGATCTGCAAAATAAAACTAGTTGCCATCTTAGGGTTCATCTTTTGCTAAGCTCTGAGAAGCCCGTTTGTAGCTCCCTATTAATCCTTTACTATGGATCTGGATAAGCGAACTGATGGAAAGAACAAGGAAATTGTTTAGTGTTCCCAAAGACAGTGAAGTGTCAGAATAAGAACTTGGCTTCTCACTTATTCCTCTGCCTTCCTAAATCACTAAACATTGCTTACAAAAACTTCTAGTATTAAGTAGTTATCTCCACCAAAACACAATCAGTGACTTGAATGCTTCCTTTTCAGCCAGATGTCTCCATTACTCAGATGAAAACACAGCAAACGATCAGAATTCCTTCCAAAAATAGTATCCTCAATGTAACTGAAAAGATGAAACGAGGTCAATAAATTCCTTACTGGAATTCCACTTACCATTCCTGCAAACCTGTAACCACAGTTTTAAAATGGATATTTTCATTCCTTTAGCTAGTGCATGGCAGGTGCCACAATCATGCCACACAATTTAGGCTTATTTTTGAAAGATGGCTGTCACATATGAATGAAGTATGATTTGAAGGGTTGGGGGAGGAAACCCTCACAGCCAACAGAAGTGTGAAAATACACTGATCCAAGTCTTCAGAACTCAATTATCTAATTTAGTAGGTACCTATTTTCTCATGACAGTTAGCTTGGCTCATGGGGAGAAGCATAATCGGCTTTCTTACCTGCTAGCAGTAATATAAGACACACAGCAAAAAAGTCAGGATACTCTGCAAGGCCAGTATAATTCATTTTGAAGTATGTCCTGAAGAACTGTCCAATCTGCTTGCTAAGAAGCTCATCGAAGGTGCCACTCCATGCTCTTGCAACACTCGAGGTACCTTCCCAAGACAAAGAACATTCAGAAAACACAAAGCCATTGGCAGAAGCTTAACAGAACAAACACCACTTGCCACACCGCTGAGTAAAGGAGTTAGTTTGCTGAGGTGAAAATGGTAATTACATATAAAATTTCTTGGGTAGTTTCACAATTATACAATAGTGCTCAAGAGCTCAAGTCCATAACTGCAGAATCTTTATTGTTTGCAGTAAAGAACTAAAAAACTATTAGCTACAAAAAAACTCCAGGACTTCCAAGCCTACTGAGACACTAAAAGATGAAACCAAACAACAGAATCACGTTGCAGTTTCTGAGACGAAAAGAATGAGAGGCAGCCAAGCTCATCCAGTAGCTGAAAGAATGGAGATACACAAGGCAATACCACAGCCTCAACCCCGGGCCCCACTGCAGGGAGGCAGATCCTCTCTGAGACATACCGATCACATAGGATAAAATGAGATTCCAGCCAGTGATGAAGGCCCACAGCTCTCCAACAGTGACATACGTGTACAAATACGCAGACCCCGTCTTGGGAACTCGGGCCCCAAATTCAGCATAGCAAAGGCCAGCCATCACAGACGCCAGGGCAGCAATGAGAAAGGAGACCACAATGCTGGGGCCCGAATCAGCTTTGGCGACTTCTCCCGCAAGCACGTAAACCCCGGCGCCAAGGGTGCTTCCGACGCCCAGGGCGATGAGGTCCATGGTGGACAGGCAGCGGCACAGCTTGGAATCTTCTAGACTGTCCAGAGTGACGATTTTCCTCCGGATCAGACATCGGGCGAACGTCAGCGCTGCTTTGCAGGGAATCATTCTGAAGGGCCGACCTGGGTGAGAGAAGGGAGCCAGTGAGAGAGAGGTGGATTCGGAACCCTCTGGTCTCCAGGCCTAGACAAAACCTCTGCCCTGGTGAACAGCGGGGTGGTACAGAGCAATCAGAGAAGCTCCAAAAGCTCCCCCTACAAACGACCAGTAGCTGGTGCATACAGGCAAGGGCCTGCTCGGGAAGCAAAAGTTAATAGCAGTCCTGGGCTCTTCCTCATATTTATTCACTGAATACAATTGTGAAAGTCTAACACATTTCACTGAAAACACATTTCTGTGATGGGAGTAACTGAGTCTCACATTGAGATTCTTTCACTGATGAACTCGATTCATGTATAAATGTAAACGCAAGCTCCCAATGCTGCAAGCAACTAACTTAAACTTAAAGAAAGAAAAGAAAAAGAAAAGTAGAATTCCTGGATAACACACACAGCATTTTCGATGTCTTCCAGTCATCAGGCCCAAGCATGGCACTTCATGAGTGCTTATTCAAAGATCACAGAAGACAGCCCCAAGTTTGCTAACCCTGTATTTGGGTTACCAAAGTCAAAATCTAGCAATGCTTCACAAATCAAACGTATATCCCGTTCTACCAAGACCTAGCCTTGAAATAACTATTTCTCCTACCTAGAATATAAGGCAGTAACAGCCCACAAGTGAAATACAGAAGTGATTTAAAAGTGACCTGAGGAGTAAGCATTTGGCTCAGCAGTCCTAGTGCCACCAGAGGTGCTGGCATCACCTTTCAAAGTCCCTGAGTTTCTGTCCTAACTCTGCTGCTCCCTATTCCAACTTCCTGCTGTCATGCACCCTGGGGTAGGGGGGGACTCAGAGCAGTGGGGTCCCTAATACTCACACGGGATACCCACACTGAATTACTGGCTTTTGACCTCCACCCCAGCTGGGAACTGTTCTGGAAACAAGTGAGGAACTTGAGAAGAGATGGCAGGAGTATGTAGGGTGGGTGTTACGGGATTGTGGGTAAGCTTTTACTTCTTGAAATCCTTTTCTCTGGACTTTATGGTTACAATGTTTTGGGGAAGAGGAGTGAGGGAAGTATGGTTGTTACATTGGAACTCTACCTATGGAATGCATAAAACCTGTTTCTCTAAGGATTTATTTATTTTTATTGGAAAGGCAAATATACAGAGAGAAGGAGAGACAGAAAGATCTTCCATCTGCTGGCTCACTCTTCTAAATGACCACAAAGGCTAAGGTTAAGCCCATCTGAAGCCAGGAGCTAGAAGCTTCTTTCAAGTCTCCCATGTGGGTCTAACACTTTGGACCATCCTTCGCTCTCTCCCAAGCAGGGAGCTGCAAGGGAAGTGGAGCATCCAGGACATGAATCAACACCCAAATGGGATTCTGGCACATGCAAGGCGAATACATTAGCCACTAGGCTATTGCACCGGACCCCTAAACCTAGTCTCTTTACGGTAATAGTTTTTTTTCTTTCTTTTTCTATTTTTTTAAACAAGGTCAACCACTGGTATGAGTTTAGAACAACAGCCTTAACAACAACAACAAATTACAGCTCCATGAAAAAACACGCCACTGAGTAACCAACACATGGGTGACAAAAAGGAAATACAAAAGTCTCTTGGGAAAAATGATGCCACCATATAATCCAGCAATTAATTCAACAAGAGAAAAGAGAGTACTTGGAATAAATAAAACTGAAAAAACATCAAAACACATGGGATGCAGCCAAAACAAATACTTTTGTTCTTTTAAAGAAAGTATACAAATGAAAGCAAATGAACACACTCAGTTAAGTTATTCAAAATGAATAAACTAATGTTGGTCATCTTCTCAATATAAAATTGAATTCACTCCAGGTTAAACTATTTATATAGGATTATGTTTATAGAAATGTATGGCTTTGATTCGGTAAAATGAGATTTCTACTGCTTGCTTGCAAGTATTTTATGCGCAGTTACCTCTTCTGTATTGCCCAGAGGCAGATAAGACAAAAATGCCTTTTGCTCAGCATATATTCATATATTTACTTCTAGAAAAAACATTTTGAATTATCCTACTTATTTGAGAGGCAAAGAGAGAGACAGAAAACTCCCATCTGGCTGCTTTACTCTCCCCAATTTCAACAGTAGGACGTCGGCTAGGCCAGAGCTGAAAACCAGGTATTCAATCCAGGCCTCCAATTTGGGGTGACAGAGTAATCACCTACTGCTTTCCAGGGTCTGCAATAGCAGGGAGCCTGGACTTGAACCCAGCCCCTCCAACACAGGACATGGGGTTCCCAGGCAACATTTTAACAGCCAGCACAAACACCTGCCCCGTGTGCTTTTGAGTAACAGCAAAGCATGCGTCAAACTTCTCAGAACTGACAGGTTACTCAACAGCCTTTGCAAACAGTTCAACTACACATACCCTGGTAAAATACTGATTGCAAAAGCTATGACATAAAACTAATCGTGTAGTCATGTAACAGGAAGGGAGAAAAGGAATGTAAGAACACACCAGGCCAATTCAATGAATAATTACTAAACATTTATTGAGTTCTGTCAGTTGAATCACAGTGCTCTGTAAAGAAAAAAGAAATCTGTGCTTTAGGAAAATATTTTGGTGGAGACATACTGATGGATGAAATCCGAATGCCAACACTGGGGTAAATAAGAAAATACAGGCCAAATTTTAGCAGTACAACAAATTTTAGCAATTCATATACTGATTAAAGAGAGAACTGAGAAGATGTTATAAGACTTTCCATTTTTTAAAAAAGATTTATTTTATTTTTAATGTAAAGTCAGATATTACAGAGAGGAAGAGCTTCCATCCGTTGATACACTCCCCAAGTGACTGCAACAGCCAAAGCTGAGCCAATCTGAAGCCAGAAGCCTGGAGTTCCTCTGGGTCTCCCACGCAGGGTCCCAACACATTGGATCATCCTCGACTGCTTTCCCAAGCGACAAGCAGGGAGCTGGATGGCAAGTGGGGCCACCAGGATTAAAACCAGCGCCCATATGGGATCCTAGTGCATGCAAGGCAAGGACTTTAGTTGCTAGGCCACCACGCAGGGACCAAGACCTTTCATTTTAATAAGGTACTTTCATTGCTGAAAAAGAAAAATCCAATGCAACTAAAACTTTTAAAACAAACCCATGTGTGGGTAGCAGGGAATCTGATGGGCCCTCTGCTGACACAGGCACGCAGGGCATGGATCTGCACTGTCCCACAGCAGGAGCCACGCGTAACAGGAAACCTACAGGCGTGCAGGAAGGACGACCTTGCAGACTGAGGCAAGAGGCCCAGGAGAAGCTTCACAACCACGTCAAAGCACGATCACCAACATCCCCGTGAGGTCCTAACTCAATTCTGGCCATGCCAGAAACGGACACAGATTTTTTTTCTAGTGAACAATTATTCTATTAATTGCTAAAGCAGTAGCGTCTCTATTGAGGGGGAAAAAAATCTATGGACACATAAGCTTAGATCTGAAAATAGAATAAGCCTGGCAGGTCTTGTCAACAGGCCCTGTCACAGTAAAGTTGCCAAAAAACTAAATTCCTCCCTCAGCAACTTGAAATTCCTCCTTCAAAACTTCAACTCCACAAAGTGGAATTTTAGTTCTAGTAAATTCTTAGCCTTGATGAAAGAACACATTGTACAGCAGACTTGCTTTCAACTGTCCTCAGAAATCTTTCAAATCCTGGTAATTGCAATCAAATGGCTATTCTGGATCTTCACTTTAGCTCAGCAGTTTGACATAACTTCGAGTCACACAGAAACGTAAAGGCTGAAGTCCCAACCACAATCCTCCCTACTGACATCATGGACCCCGACAATAAATCTTACAGCAGCCACCAGCTATGACCAGCCAATGGGACAGGCGTTCCCATAAATCCTCAACAAATTAGCTTCTCCCAACTGCTGCCCATTTTTTCCCTTCCTCATTCCAATTGCTGGTTTCATGGTGAGACAACTGCACATTGTTTTTGGATCGGTGGAGAAACAAGAAGTAAAACATATAGAACAGGATCTCTCTTGGTCCCGGGGTTTACACTCTAAACCAGAGCTTTGGATTTTTCCATCTCCAAACTCAATCACAATTGCATTTCTACAACTTTAAAGTTCCAAGAAAAAGTTCCACATTATACTGAAGGTGAAGCCATTCAATAAGAAGGGTGGGGGAAGGGACAATATGGGTTTAATCCCTTAGCATTACTGACTTTTCTTTCATTTTTCTTGTTACTTTATTGTCAAAGACTAAATCTCCAAGATGTAACCAAACTATATAGAGTAAAAGAACCAGAAATAGTGACTGTTCAGCTTGAATTAGGAAAAAATAAAGGAAGCAACAACAATCCTATATAGTCAACCCCAAACCTTCATTTTTTCCTTGAAAAGTAAGAATCCCTTGCCTTGGAGCCTGGCGCAATAGCCTAGAGGCTAAAATACTCGCCCTGCGTCCACTGGGATCCCATGTGAGTGCTGGTTTGTATTCCAGCTGCTCTGCTTCCCTTCCTGTGTCCTGGGAAAGGAGCGGAGAATGGCTCCAAAGCCTTTGGACCCTGCACCCATGTTGGAGACTTGGAAGTAGCTCCTGGCTCCTGGATCTTGGCTTCGGATGGGCTCAGCATTGGGGAAGTGAACAGCAGAAGAAATATCTTTCTCTCTCACCTTCTCTCTGTACAATCGGACTTTCCAATACAAATAAATAAATCAATCTTAAAAAAGAAAACCTTGTCCAGACGAATATATTTCACTGATACCTACTCAAAACTTATCTTTCCTGTAAGTCAAATTTTTTAACTTCTTTTTCAAAGTTTTCTTCAGACATGTAAAAACAGATAAAAGTAGAGACACAATGGAAGTCTCTATACAACTATTATTGGTTAATGTTTATATTTTCTCCCTTTTTATGGCCAATCAGTGCTGCTGGGAAATAGGGTAAAAAGTATTATTTCCAAATTTCTGATAATGCATACACAGACAAACATCCTTCATTAAGGACATCTGATACATAA